CATAACAACAACACAGAGCACCTTTAGGGAGGAGGTGTCTTTATTGGAATGACCGGCTGACACCTAGGGTAGTCTAATCTAGAAAAACTTAATAAGTTGAATAGAATTGGATTAACATGATTCGATTAGGTCGGCACGGTGGAGGGGAAAGAGAACGAAAGAGCTAGGGTGAGTTCACTGACAGATACATGGGACAAATTTGTCTCGGGCACTCGCCCAAAAAGTTGTATCTATAGCGAATTTCCATTCATACTCCCTTCAATCATAGGCCTACAAGAAAGGACAAAGACAATGAAGGCTCGACTTGGTCATACTTTATGGCAGAACTAGTATAATAGTATGGTATAACGCAGTATTTTGTATCTACACTTGTCCAATATAAAGATTATGCAGTCATGGTATCATTATCTATGATTATCATTGATTATCGTTTTTATTTTGTTTCACTTTCTAGTGTTTACTGTGTTGGGTTTTTTGTTTTTTGTTGGTTACTGCTGTTCAAAACAATCTTTAGCTCATTAATTTTATTCTATAAAGCATGTTTGACTAAATAATGAAATAAACAGATAAATTTCAAATTTCCCTTCCTATTTTACTGAAACCCTACTAAATAAACAAGGACATGCTTAAGTTTGTGGAAGAACTAGAAATTAATTTCTGTCTAACGAATGGAGAATTTCCAGAAGGAAAACAATTCCAAACTTCAAGGGAAAGTCCACCCTGATCCGATGCCGGTTTAAACAGAAGCAGAACTTTGTGAAACATATCTGTGAACGTGTGAGCAAAAATCCGAAAAAAAATAAGGAAGTTGTAAATGTTTGAAGTTTTAATCAATCAAACACAATTTGACAACACTGTGACGTATCTTGCGATCTTACGAACCATACCGCAATATAAATGATAACGAGAATATTCTGTTTTTCAAATTTTGACATACATGACCCTTTGCATATTTCATGAATAATATTGCAAATTCATCAATATACAATACACCTATAGACATAAGTGGGTTATAAACAGATGCAGCTATTCATCATGAATTATACAATAGAGATCCATCATTTTGCATGAAGGTCGGAACAATAGACATTGAAAAAGGACACAATTCTAAAATTTATTCATGCCGTCCTTGAGCATATGGCGTGTACATTTTCTCATAACACGCATCGTCCTTGACACTTTAAATTATTATGATATCATGAGAAATCTAAAAATATATAATTTTGTATGAAGATAAAAAAATCCTTCGTCAGCAAATAAGAAAATGGACGTTTATGAACTTTTTGTAAAGAGAAAATTGGAGAAGACCTCGCAAGATAGAAATTATAACGATAATATTCTGTTTTTCAAATTCTGACATTTACATGACCCTTTGCATATTTCATGAATAATATTGCAAATTCATCAATATACAATACACCTATAGACATAAGTGGGTTATAAACAGATGCAGCTATTCATCATGACCTATACAATAGAGATCCATCATTTTGCATGAAGGTCGGGACAATAGACATTGAAAAAGAACATAATTCTGAAATTAATTCATGCCGTCCTTGAGCATATGGCGTGTACATTTTCTCATAACACGCATCGTCCTTGAGACTTTACATTGTTATGATACCATGAGAAATCTAAAAATATATAATTCATCATTGGTATAAATGTCAAAACTAATTCCTAAGCTTACGTTAGGCCTTTGATCAAACGAAATGAATCAACACCAGACGGAATACAGTTAAACTGATGACGAGGCAGTCCGTGATCCCATGAATTGCATCTGTCTCATTGCGAATGATTACAAAAATACCCGTCCTGCATGCTGTCAGATCAGAGTTGAGTGTTAGGTAATGTGTGAATGGTTCACACCATCCACCAATTGCCCGTCATCTATCGACTAAACCATCCTGGTATTTTGAGATATCAGACAACATCCCATCACCACACCTCCAAACTCTCTCTCAAACCTCTCTCTCCCTATTCTCTCTATAGTAAAGTAATATGAATGGGGCTCACATCATTGCATTTTTTAATGTGATACTGCTATTTTACACTCTCTCATGTCAAGATTTGTGGTGTATTGTATGTTTTTCACCCCTTCCCCTCCCCCCCCCCCCTCTCTCTCTCTCTCTCTCTCTCCATCTTTCTTATCCAACACCACGCTGCTGTATACAGGCGGTAAAACTTTAGATAATCCAATTAAATGGAAAGTTCAGTCAGTCACAGAATGTCTTTGTACGTTTATACACAATGTTTAGGGTTTATCTATGTGATCTAAGGTAGACGTAAAATGCGTGGAAAGTATGTCAAGTGCCGTCCCGAGAAAGCTAGGACTTACCACGTGACTCACCCGTGCATTCATCTCTCTCTCCCTCTCTCACTCTATTCTCTCTCTCTCTCTCTCTCTCTCTCTCTCTCTCTCACTCTCCCCTCTCTCTCTCTAATATTACCACCGTTTTGGGGTCTCTCTCTCTCTCTCTCTCTCTCTCTTTATCTCCCCTCCTTCCCCAACTCATCTCTCTCTCTCTCTCTCTCTCTCTCTTTCTTTCTTTCTCTCCTTTTCCCTTCTCCCCATCTCTCTCTCCCCCCCCCTCTCTCTCTCTCTCTCTCTCTGAGCAGGGTCACATGCCCTCAGCTCCTGCATCCTCTAAACAGAACCATATCTCAAAACGTTAACGATAAAATTATCATCTTTATCACAAGTGTACAACATCAGGTATACATAGTTACGTACATTCGTTAACGCATATGAATTGAACACTGACGGGACACTATTAACAAATACTGTTCTATTACTCTGAATTACTGTTCTCTCCTGTTGTTTTAATTATCTAAATCTAGGCCTACATTACCTAAAAATTGGATGAATGGATGTCATTCAATAATATTCATTGAACTGTTTGTTGTTCTCTTCACTCAGATAAATTATTTATACGCTTCATTGGGAATATAAAGAAGCAATGGAATCGTGAATGCAAAGGAGATGCCGTGTATTGCATGATTTGAACACATGCTTACATTATTCATTATTCCATTCGAAAGGGGCGGGAAAGCGACTGCCGTGGCTGTCTTCATAAACGGGACAAATGCTAATCCCAAAATATATTGATTAGCTGATCCATTAACCTCATTCTAATCCACCGAAATGGTCCAGACCCCAAATCAATAACAATTGTTCTCAGGCAAAGTGACCCTCGGTTCTTTGCACGAAGGTTGGATACATACACAAGTCAATAATTTATTGGCATAAGACCTCACAAGACAATAACAACACATGACAACAATGCTTCAAGTATTCTCTCGGCGTGAGAGAACAAAAGAGACAATAATTACCCAGAAATCCTTCATCCGCAAATGTTTTGGTTTTTTAAACTGATTTCTGAACGACGCAATGAACCAACCCCAAGTTTCACTGCACGTTTACTAATCTCGCGTAAATGGAAGTTCGACAGTGATGTTAACCTGTAATAGGCCTATTATTTCAAAATTCTCCGACAACTTTCCAACTATTTCTATACCTGGGCCCCGGCTTATAAATGGTTGATATTAATTGCAACTTATTTGCGATTTAAGGCAATCGCAGCTATGTACATAAGACATATGAGACAGCAAACATGCGATAAATTATTGGAGGATTTGCGATTGAAGACGGGGCCCTGATGTTTCAAAAACGCTATTAATTATGCCGGAACAAGTTGATGTTTGGATTTCAGTCTCGAACAGAATTATCCAACTTTCACGTCCAATAGCAAGTTTCTTTCTCTCTCTCTCTCCCCCCCCCCCCCCCTCTCTCTCTCTCTTTCTCTCTTGTTTTCTTCTTTGATCTGGTTACATTCTGGTAACGTCATTACCATGTCATTAATTCTTTCTACAATACTACTAGTACTTATATTATTGATTCGATGGCTTTTCTTAGGCCTCCTCCGTCGTTGAAGATGTCATGGTAATAGCATTTCTGGTGTTAACATGAGGGGAAAATTATTAGAAGTAATCCGTTCGATTTATGTTTTTTTTTAGTAGACTGTGATAATGGATGGGAACATTTTGTGCTTCGTTTATTTATTTGTTTTGGGTTGTTTCTTCATCTTCTGTTTTTTCTTCTTCAGAACACCTTTCTTCTTCACTGCAGGGTTTCCTTACAATATTTCATATTGAATTTGGGCTACAGGGTTCGAATTGACAACATTTCCACTTGAATGTGTTCCAAAGTACCTTGTTTCTTTTTTATCTAATACTCTTCATAGACATATCATCCATTAATTTCACATATCATTCACAGACAGCACACTCATTAAACAGATTTTTATATATAATACATAGCGTATAAACACTTAGTCACATAATAAACGAATTAAAATAATAATAAATATGATTGAACTTAATACAGGTCAGAGTTTACTCACAAAGAAAATCGTTGCCAGACTAATGTCTCAATGCGAAGTCGAAAGTAAAGGTGCACGTTATTATAATGTCATATAATTCTTTGTCAAATACCTATAGTTTTTATTAGTTTAAAGATCTTTTTTGTTTGTAATGAGCTTCGAGAACCCTTCCTGGGCTGAACAGTGCACTATATTAAATGGATATAAACAGCCTCGACAATAATTCATGAATGCTAAATAACCTCGTTATATCAGTCATATACATCAACATAAACTTGTTTCATTCGATAATATCATAATCTAATCAAGGTTTAATATTACAACATGGGCAGGCCTGTGTGGTGCCACTGCACTACAGAATAATGTTAACGCAAACTTCTAAAAAAATATTTTCTCTCACACACTTTCTCTCTTTCTCTCTCTTCTCCTGTTTAATGTCCATTGTTCCCGTTGAAACCCACCATATTATTATTATTATTATCATATCATACTATAGCCACTCGGTCGCCTTAGACTGCCTATCGTTTCAAACCACCACATTGTCTGCAATCTGAATTACAACAACCTTCAACGTACGATAGACAAACGAGCATATATTATCTCTGTGTACATACATACCTCAACAACGAGATGAACAAATCTTCCTCCGAGCAAGAAAAACGTCTTGTGAAACCTTATCCAATTCGATCACGAACAGCTCATTAATTTTAGGAAACAATCATCTATTTCTCGACGCCGAGGGTCCAAGGTATGAGATGGCGAACAAACACAGGTCAATGCGGATCGCTCACGAGATGAATGATAACCGTAGTGCGAAACTGGGAGGCAGACACCGACTTATAAAAGGCAAAATATCATTGTTCGCCAGCTCAGTTAGCGCGGTGCGCCGCTGCAAAATATTTGAGAGAGAAAACAAGAGCGAGTGGAGAGAGACTACTATGAAGCGCCATCACCGACGTTTGTTCTTATAGTTTCTTTTTTCTTGAAGTTTTTTCCTTCTTCTTTTTCTAATTCTGCTTTTTACGCACATTCCTCGTCCGCTGCCTTATTGAACGTCATCGATCTATTTCATTGCCCCTCGTCATTTTTGTTTTGTTTTGATCGGTGTACATTTTTCTTCGTTTCTTTATACTTTGCTTTCAACGAGATTCTAAAGAAAATAATTATTATAGGCTTTCTTGTAAATCATTTGTTATTGAAATTAATAATCTATTCCGCTTGCATACCCCTGTACAATCCAGTTTAATTACTTTTTGTTTGTATACATTTATTTGTATTGTGAAGTAAGATCAGCTATTTCACTTGCATACCCCTGTACGATCTTTTTAGTCAGAATATGGTGCGCTTTAGAGACACCAGTATTAAGCGCCTAATAAATATTGTGTATTATTATTAGTGTTATTATTTCAGAATCTATACAGATCACATGCCATTCGATTGAAAGTTTTTTTTTTTTAGAAATCACAACATCGGAAAGAAGAATAAATTTATCAGAACTGTGTATCGTCCCCCAAGCTGCCCCCATTTAAATTTTATTACATCAATACAATTTGTTTTATCCTCAAAAAATCTAAGAAATAAACCTTGCTTCATAATAGGGGACTTATCCTACAGGACAAGCACTGCAAAATCAATATCATCTTCCCTTGACGAGAACAGCATTTGCTAAAAAAAAATAAAAAAATATTGGAATTATATTAATCAAACCATTAAACTTTAGAACAAAGCTCACACCTTAAAAACACACCTAAAACTGTCTCTGCTAAATGAATACAAAACATTGTATGCATAATTGTCGTTCTATCCATACCCGGCCTCAAACTGCTTAAACCCCTCTTAATATTTCACCACCCAGAAGCTCTACTCCGAGATGTCGTAACTCTCAAATTCTTTTTTTCTTCTTCTTATAACTTAATTGTGAAATACATAATTTCACATTCAAATTAATTAAAATAAGTCAGAGTCATTTTGTATAAACCCCAACTTTATTCGATGAGTGATTTTACAATGCATGCATTTACCACTTCAAATGAGGATGAGTTCATTAATATCTTTCCTCCAAATAACGATCTTGAAAATTCCCTGACCAACAGAGAAGGTGCAGCCCAGTGGCGGATTCAGGGGGATTCCCCCGGGGAAAAAAACGTTTAAAAACACGTCAATTTGACCCCCCCCCCCTTGGCGCTCAAGGGGGGGGGTGCGTTTTTCAAATTTTCGAGGACCAACAACAAAAAAATGTGCTTACTACCCCCCTCCCCTCCCGAGCGAATTTTCGGCCTGCGCGATTTTCAAATTTTCGGGACAAAAAAAAAATTGGGCCCCCCCCCCTAAGAAATCCTGGATCCGCGCCTAGTGCAGCCCACTTTGTTGAATTTAATAGTATCAATCTTCGTAATCAAATGAAATTCCCGAGTTCCGGCTAGATTTTAATGCAAGAAACGTTCTTGTAGATAAAATGAAGTCAAAGTATGTATCATCCAAATCGAATATCTAAGATTGCTTCATCAAATGCCATAGATGCTCTATCTGTACTTCATCAGAATACATGTAGTCTCAATATAAACTTTAATCAATCTGATTGAGAATAAGAAGAACCTTATTATGTATGATGTTTTCTGTTGACTTAAGGCCCTTCTCATTTATTTCAACCAACTTAGTCGTTTATTAATGATTTAAATGTAATTTTTTTAGACCTAGTCCAATGACTCACTCTCTCTTTTTATCTTTCGGAGGATATTCATTAATAACAAATAATGGCAAAGATAAAACTAAAGGTGGGGTCGCTTTCAAAGTTTCAGATATTAAAATAGTTTTTGATACAAGACCCGAACTACCTCATTTAACCAAAGATATCGAATGATCATTCATTTCATTATAACACACGATTACAAGAGTATCATAATGAAATATGATAATAGCTACATTTATGTTGCGCATGTATCCATCCCAGGGGATGCTCAAGGCGTCTACACAGTAGTATTATAGGAATTTATTCATTGAATGCTTTTAGCCCAGCTACTGCCCTAAGGCAGTATAGGTATTCAAGGAATAAATTCCTACCAGGTACCCTTTTGCAAGACATATAGCTGAGGTTAACAGGCCTCCCAATTCCAATTATCTTGAGTTTATTCTGTGATTCAGTCTTTCCTCTACCCCCCTTCAAAAAAAAAAAAAAAACAGTTCTTGTTTTATCATGGGATACTTTACATTCAGATTTAGATCTTTTCTTCAGGGATGCAAAGACGATCCATCCATAAGTACCTAAATGATTTTAAAGAATAACAAGTATTCTATTTCCTCGTAGGGATACTTTAACTAAGATTGGTTTACAAGAAATTACCCTGCCTCAAGGGTATAAAATACATTAGTAAGAACAACAAACAAACATTAGCGATAATTCTGTATAACATTGGCTAAAATCATTGCATACAAACATAGATTGCTTTCCACGGTGAATGTAATTGTATTTTACGAATTTGAGGACTTGTATTTATATGTTTGTCTTATGATGCATTTGATTGGACATGCACACAAATTTTTGTTACAGTATTTTTCTTTTTTACTGGAAACGACGCACTCCGATTTTGTAAAAGCCAGGGTGGTGTTTGATATTGTATGACGTGCTCTTCTAAAGATGGGGGCACGTATGCCCTTACCACCCCTCCCCACCCTATGATCAGCACCCACGGCTGTATCAGTATACCCCTTTCCTTTATGACAGTTTAGATGATACATTAAGGATTGAAACACAGACCTTCAAATATTATACTGTCCTATATAAAAAAGCAGCAATTTGTTCAAGCTTAGACAATTTTCCTTTACTGCGGGCCCATCACATCCCGTGATCTACCAAGGGAATCACGGACTCTAACAGAGCGTGAGTGATCACAGACAAATTGATTTTTTTGTCAGAGAATCCTTGCTTATGGGAAGGGTAGGAGATGATTTAATCATATAAATCCCTGCCGTATAAACCATGTATCTTGTTTACTGGGTTCCATGTATTAATTGGAACTCTCTTTCATTTAGTCTTCATAACAACACGTTTTGAGTCGACAATGTTTAAAGCACGAGATATTTTAATTTTTAATTTCTTTATTTTATATTTATATATTCATTCATTTATTTATTTTATTTACTTATATATTCTATTATACATTAATTATCTATTTATCTGTGTTAATTTATATTATGGGCGTTCCCAACTCAAGCTATGCTTTCCGGGTTTTCGCCTCCTTCCGTATCTGAATTATTTACTGTATACTCTATGTTGAAATAATTGTTACATATATCATGTATATATACATTGTGTTTTATATTGTGCTGTCGAGAAGGAAATAAATGTTAATAAATACAAAATACAAATTTGATAAAGTGTTTCGAAGAGATAAAATGTGACATACCCTCATGATGAAGTATCTAAGCATCAATATGAGTTAACCTAATGTAGTCAACATGTATTATTATTAGCAGTATCAGAGTATCAGCGGCAGTAGCGTACGCAGGATTTTCAGGGGGGGGGGGGTTAACATTTGAAAATCGCACCGAAAATTTCGCAACGACTCAGCTAGCAGCTGAATAAGCGGGGGGGGGGGGGGGGAGGGGGTAAGAGCACACACATATATATATATATATATTTTGTCCCGGAAATTGGAAAATTATGCCAACCGATATTTCGTTCAGTTAGGAACGGGGGGGGGGGGGGTAATGTCGCTTTTTTCACCCTTTAGCAAAAAAACAAAACACACATTTTTTTTAAAAATTGTTTTAATTTAAAAAAAATTAACCCCTAAAACCACACCTGCGTACGCGCCTGGTCAGCGGAGTACCTATTTATTAAACAATGTAGGTTCTGGATGGATGGGGAAGTGGCGAAGGCATTCATGTTTATCTTTCGCTTGGAGATGATGCAATTCATCATCTGCGAGAATGATGTGTCATTCTACGCTGTGGGGGAGGGAGAGAGCATGAATGGAAATATCTTTTTCTTTTTTTAAAGTATCTAAGAATTAAAATTCCTCAATTATTAGGAACAACAGACCGCCCTCTCCTGGAATCCCCACTGTTAAAAATAAAAAAGATACTTTTTCTCCTCTATTCTAGTGGCGATTTGGGGAAACATAATTTGTCATTTGCATTTGTCATTTGTTTTTGCATTTGTCAACGTTCTTCATTCTTACATTAATATTTTTAAAAAATAGTACAACATAATATTTGAACCTATATAGTGTCCAAACTTAAGTTGCGATTCCACAATACATTTTTGTTTGCATTGTATATTTATCCCGTTTAGTGATTTTTTGCTGTAAATATATTATTTTTATCATTTTCCGCTGCCTAGATTTGAATTTTTCTTGTTATAATAATTATGTAACAATGGAAAATATACACAATCTATGCAGTTGTGCAGGTCTTCATGAAACAATCAGTGCTGCATTTCAAATAGTAATGATCGGTCTTATTGGATCTACTATTGAGACCTGGCGATGGGATTGCAATTGCATCAATTTGAGACGGAGAACATGAGGTTTGTCTATCAAAAAGGCCTCAATCTAACAAGTGAATATACATATTATGTATCCTTAACAGCCAATATAATATTGAAAGCTGACTTCAAAATGGGCAATCTTACCGTTTACAATCGACGTATGTTGTAATTCCTTGCTTCATAACGTTAAATGGAAAAAGACAATTTCATTTTTTTCTTCTTCACCAGGGCGCTGTCATTGCTACGCATGAAGACTCTCCTTCAATGGTCCTGCCACTTAAATCTGAAAAATGTGTTTTTCTCACATCGTTATGAAACTTCTATACATAATTTTATTTG